CAGCTCCTCTCCTGGAAGCAGCCCCCAGCCCCCGCGGCATCTGCCCCAGAGACCGGCGCCTCTCCCCCCGCGCCGGGTCCGCTCCGGGGACCCCTCTGGCGGAGGAGCTGAGCACCGGCCCGCCGGCCCGAGATTCAAGAAAGACGAAAGGACCCTGCCAGCTCTCTCGAGCAAGACTGGATTGCAGGCGAGGGGGGGGGGCGAGGGGGTATCCCGCCTGGCACCGCGGGTCCCCTTGTGCCCAAGGTCTGGGTGGAAGGCAGGCATGCTTTTTCCCATGGGGAGGTGAGCCTTGTCAGGCAGCCCCCGGCCCGGCTGCTTGGCAGGAGGCAGGCGTGCTTGCCAGCGCTCCTTCAGCCCAGGACCTAGGAGGGGCTACCTCCCGCTCTGCCTTTCTCATTCCCCCCCCCCACACACACATGCACTCCAAAACAAGGATGGCCTCAGCTGATGAGGATTAGTCCGTGGCTGCTTGGGCTACCTCAGAAAGGGGGCTGGTTCTGGGACCCCCCCCCGTCGCCTGCGTCCTCCAGCTGTCCTTCCTCAGCCAGACTGGGCTCCCCCATTCGGAAGGCTGGCAGTCCCTTCCTCCTGCCTGCTGCAGCTCCTGCTTTTCACAGCCGCCACCCCCTCCCCGCATCTGATTTCAGTATTTAAGCTCAGCTGGTCCTCGTAATTAGGCAGCTCAGAGAAAAGACACAGAAGGATTTCCCACTATACTTTTTAATTGGCTTGGCTGGGTAAGAATATGATTAAGCAATTTTATATGTATGTGTAATAATATGTTTAGAGGCTAAGGAAGTAGTTTTCTTTAATATCTGTTAGCAACTTTGATTTTTTTTCTTTTAAAATAAGGCTTTTAAAGGCCTTTAAAGTCAAAACTTTAAAGTTAAAACTTCTAAAGACAGGAGGGCCTGGCGTGCTCTGGTCCATGGGGTCACGAAGAGTCAGACACGACTTAACAATTAAACAACAACAGAGTACAGTAGTTGAATGACTAGATGGGCAAGATATAAATATAATAAATAAATAAACAACAAAAAGTTAAAACATGTGTTTTGATCTTTTATTGTACTTTTGTGCCTGTATTTTATATTCAGTTATGCTTACCACTTAAGTTCTAACACCTGAATCTTTTCATAAGTTGCAAAGATGTATTTTTAAGTATTTGTGCGTCATTTTTCTCACAACTGTAAGACTGTATTCAGTATATTTTAAACTTTTCATGTGGCTCTGTGCATGTGGAACAGAAATGTAAAAACAGGCAAGCTAATGTTGTCTGAAATTGTTGTAGCAAAGACTGATTGATACTCAGGCAAATTTTGATGTGATTGTCTGTGATTGTTTTCTTTCTGAAATTACATAAGAACATCAGAAGAGCCCTGCTGGAAATAGGCCAAGGGCCCATCTAGTCCAGCTCCCTGTATCTCAGATGCCTCTGGGAGCACACGAGGCCACGAGAGACCCATCTCCTGATACCCCTTCCCCTTCCCCTGCATCTGTCATTTGGAGGTACCTTCCTTTGAAGCCTGGACAACCCCATCGTGGCTTGTCACCTGCAATGGACTTTTCTTCCAGGAATCCCCTTTTAAAGGCATCTAGATGCCAGATGCCATCACCACATCCTGTGGCAAAGAGTTCCACAGACTAACAATACACTGGGGGAAGAAATATTTTCTTTTGTCTGTTCTCAGTCTCCCAACATTCTGTCTGAGTGGATGTCCCCTGATTAAATTAATCTTTTGTTAGGGGAAATGCCTGCTGTGATGAACACAGGCTTCTAGTGTTGTTGTTGCTTTTCCTAGGAGGTCTTTGAAAATTTTGTATGCCCCCTGGGGGTGTTCAGGCATTAGCTGAACTAATATGACAATGTCTACAGAATACTTTCCTTTTTGGGGGGGGGGGGATATCCAGGCCATTAAAGGAAGCCACAGACTAAAATGTTGCACAGGGCTGATAATAATAAGCAGCAGCACCTTGGAGATCCCTCATGCATAGGGTGGCTGTGGGTCAGAAGTGGCGTGGGCTGCCCCATTGTCTGAGAAGGGCTCTTTCTTGCCTTCCCACTTGGCTCAGAGAGAAGCTGCCCTGAGAGCCTCAGAAGTCCTGCAAAGGGGGGGGGGCTCTTCCCCTCCCTTTGTCAGCCTCTTCCCTGCTGAAGGTGCCTGCCCGTGAGACCCAGAGGCCACCACCCCCCCCTGACCCTCGCATGGGGAAGGTTGCCCTGGCCGGACCCTGTTCAGGCTGTGTGGTGTGACGTGGGACTTGGATTTACCCAGAGAGACGAACCTTAGGAATCCCCCGCTGGCTGCCCCCCCCCCGGTCTCTGAGGAAGGGAAACCAAAACCTCTTGGGAGAG